GCTTGTCAAAGATGTACCGTATGCACATTGACCGCCAACGCTTGCGGCGCAGTTGGTGCACCAACAGTGCAAGCGCGAGTTTTCGTCGTGCAAGGTACGTCCACGCCATCGCTCGAACTTGGCGCTGAAGAAGCGCGAGAATTCTCGTCTGCTATTCGAAACGAAAAGAAACCGGAAGTTGCGCGCTCTCGCAGGAAACGTGCCCTCGTAGTCAAATTCTGCGCATGCGCCGCGCCGGCCGTCCACCGACGCGAGCCGCGGGAGCCGCCAGGGACGCCGGAGTATAAAAAGGGCGAATTTTTTACGCACGCGGCGTGACTGACGTGACGTAGCCGACTTCGGCCAGCGTTCGCTTGCGCGCGCGTTACGTCGGAGTATAACAGAGCCTTAACAGAGCCTTAACAGAGCCTTTATACTCCGACCTAACGCGTGCGCGCGTGCGAGCGCGTCACAGCGACGTCACGTCGGCGAAAATCCGACGCTCTATACTCCGGCGTCTTGGCGTAACCGGCGCGACCGGCGGCGTTCGACGCAGCCTGACCGCCTCGCCGCCAAAATGGAGCATGCCGTATTCCGCGCCGGCCGCGCCAGCGACGCCGGACCAGGATGCATCGCGCGCTGGCTCCCGGCAGCCCTCGCGGCAAATACGAGCAATAGCAGACGACGGGAGCACCATTCCCTGTGGCGTCACGTTTGAAGAATCGGACTCGGTCGTCGAGAAGCTCATCGAGGGAATTCGTCCTCACCCGTGTGTCTACGACACGAGGAAGCTTGAGTGCCGTAGACCGTGCGCTTGTCAAAGATGTACCGTATGCACATTGACCGCCAACGCTTGCGGCGCAGTTGGTGCACCAACAGTGCAAGCGCGAGTTTTCGTCGTGCAAGGTACGTCCACGCCATCGCTCGAACTTGGCGCTGAAGAAGCGCGAGAATTCTCGTCTGCTATTCGAAACGAAAAGAAACCGGAAGTTGCGCGCTCTCGCAGGAAACGTGCCCTCGTAGTCAAATTCTGCGCATGCGCCGCGCCGGCCGTCCACCGACGCGAGCCGCGGGAGCCGCCAGGGACGCCGGAGTATAAAAAGGGCGAATTTTTTACGCACGCGGCGTGACTGACGTGACGTAGCCGACTTCGGCCAGCGTTCGCTTGCGCGCGCGTTACGTCGGAGTATAACAGAGCCTTAACAGAGCCTTAACAGAGCCTTTATACTCCGACCTAACGCGTGCGCGCGTGCGAGCGCGTCACAGCGACGTCACGTCGGCGAAAATCCGACGCTCTATACTCCGGCGTCTTGGCGTAACCGGCGCGACCGGCGGCGTTCGACGCAGCCTGACCGCCTCGCCGCCAAAATGGAGCATGCCGTATTCCGCGCCGGCCGCGCCAGCGACGCCGGACCAGGATGCATCGCGCGCTGGCTCCCGGTAGCCCTCGCGGCAAATACGAGCAATAGCAGACGACGGGAGCACCATTCCCTGTGGCGTCACGTTTGAAGAATCAGACTCGGTCGTCGAGAAGCTGATCGAGGGAATTCGTCCTCACCCGTGTGTCTACGACTCGAGGAAGCTTGAGTACCGTAGACCGTGCGCTTGTCAAAGATGTACTGTATGTACATTGACCGCCAACGATTGTGGCGCAGGCGGTGCACCAACAGTGCAAGCGCGAGTTTTCGTCCTTGCAAGGTACTTCCACGCCATCGCTTGAACTAGGCCCTCAAGAAGCGTGAGAATGTTTGTCTGCTATTCGAAACGAAAAGGAACCGGAAGTGGCGCACTCTCGCAAGAAATGTGCCCTCGTAGTCAGATTCTGCGCATGCGCCGCGGCGGCGGCCCACCGACGCGCGCCGCGGGAGCCGCCAGGGCCGCCGGAGTATAAAGAGGGCGAATTTTTGACGCACGCGGCGTGACTGACGTGACGTAGCCGACTTCGGCCAGCGTTCGCTTGCGCGCGCGTTACGTCGGAGTATAACAGAGCCTTATACGACACGAGGAAGCTTGAGTGCCGTAGATCGTGCGCTTGTCAAAGATGTACTGTATGCACATTGACCGCCAACGCTTGCGGCGCAGGTGGTGCACCAACAGTGCAAGCGCGAGTTTTCGTCGTGCAAGGTATGTCCACGCCATCGCTCGAACTTGGCGTTGAAGAAGCGCGAGAATTCTCGTCTGCTATTCGAAACGAAAAGGAACCGGAAATGGCGCACTCTCGCAGGAAACGCGTGCTTGTAGCCAGATTCTGCGCATGCGCCGCGCTGGCGGCCCACCGACGCGAGCCGCGGAAGTCGACAGGGCCGCCGGGGTATAGAGAGGGCGAATTTTCGACGCGCGCGGCGTGACTGGCGTGACGTAGCCGACTTCGGCCAGCGTTCGCTTGCGCGCGCGTTACGTCGGAGTATAACAGAGCCTTAAGGTTCCTTTTGATTCCGCAAACTATTTTTCTATGCGTCCTCTTCTCTCTTCTGAGAAATGTTGCGTAGTCGGGGACCCGAACCAGGTGGCGTGCCAGAGGTTGTGTCAGAGCATCTTCTGCCGCAGGTCCTTGGGTAGGGATTTCTTGAGTCATTGTTTGCTGGCATCTGATGCCCCGCTGCTAACCGTCTCTCTCGCCTTAGCGTACACAGTACACTCAGCCGGCAAAGCTGACTCACATTCCGGATAGCACGATGCTTGCGGTGGTTGACTACAAATAGTAGGAAGACTCATGCTGTGAAGTTCAACACATATTCGAATGCACCTGCGGCTGCGCCCGTAACATTGCACGGCTGAAGTGTGCGTCATCAGCCGACGTGAACGTGACCCGCTGGTCTGGTGATCCGAAACCCAGAGGGAGGCCAGAAGTGGCCTTGCTGTGCCATCCCAGACTACGCACTCCCGCGACTCGTCTCGAGACCGCTGTTTCTCGGACAGCTCGCACCTGTGCCGGCAGTATCAGCTCGCAATCCACGAGATCTCTGTTTGGATAATGCTAGGCAAAACTTGAGGACTGCAATCCGTGCGTCGGTGGCGGAGGGTCGGCAGTAGGAACCTTCAGAACAGGGATGCCACCATATCGTTTTTTCAACCGTAACGGAAGATAAGACATGTATTCCAAGATACTTCAGGTGGTCCACTATTCTCAAAAATTCCAAATGACACTGCATGCACGATCTTTAACTAGGTAACCTACCACGAAAGTATGTATTGTTCTTTCATACAGCAGCGTGGTGAAGTTTTATGTTCAAGGCCAAACCTACAGATGAAGAATACTAGTTCGTTCCACCGTGACATCATGTGATCAATGTTGACAGGATTCCCTCGTCGGATAGACAGGATGTCATGGAAGGGACCACGGTCAGCCGTTGATGGAACGTTTTTTTGGGCCCATTGAAGACTCCTTGTCGTCCGAAACCACTACCTTCAAGGCAAAGTGCGAAGCCTACAGGAAAGTAATTTCGGGATCCAAAACATCCACTTCAAACTTCAAGCTTCATCACAGTTGGCGTCTCAAAAAATTTGGAAAATGTATTGCACTATCAGTATTTCTGTATTTGTATTTCTGCCCTCCCTAAAATACATTCCTGTATTTGTATTTCCAAATACTTTTTGCCTGTTTTTAAAATGTATTTCCAATACGCATCGCGGTACATGTTTACAGATATATCTTAGTATCAGTATTTTAGCTACTAATTTAATGTATTCCAGTATTTGTACTTCCAAATACATTTTTGAGTATATCTGATTTCTCCCCAACCCTGCTCACAGACATTGCGTGTAGGAACCGACCGCAGTTTCTTAGTAATCTCAGCTTACCTTAGCATAGCGCTATACAAAACGTTGGGAGCCAGAGCTGTGGCAACTACTTCCTTTTTTTATATACAAGATTTCGACATTAAGAGCAGAGATCCTCTCCATGCGATGGCACAGACCGCCTTGACTATCTCAATCCCTGTATATCTACTGGGTTCACCAGCGAGCGCGAAGAGCAATGGGATAATGAGAGGAGGGAAAAATACCTTTTATGTCGACTTTAACAGTTACTGGCACCCGGGAATGTGAATGTCGTTCTGGAACGATTTTCCGAACCGTTGAAGCCACACGTGCCTCGTATAGAGGTTCGTTCTTGCGCAGATAAGCGAAAGCATGCAGGAGTTTTACCGTCTTTGCCGCTTATAACCGCGAGGGACAAGATTGAGCCCAAGCTCCGAGCAACTCCTGCGAGTCGAACGACGCGAGAAGACATACAGAGCAACGCTGGACGAAGGTAGGTTTTCTAATGTCGAGGTGCGAAACCTTAAACAGGGTAACTGAAAAAAAAAGTGTTTTTTTTAAACAGCCTAATTGGGACAAGCATGTCACAAAACAAATTTTCCGCGAAAAAACAAATTTTTTTTAGCAATACTTACGCCACAAGACGTAATTTAGTCAAAATCACAATTTCTCCACATTTGAAACTCCCGCTCTTTCGACGCACGCGGAGTGGCTGTTATACGTCATCCCCTGACGTATAGCAGCCACTACGTGACGCATAATACCAAATTTGTGGCGCGCGATTTAAAACGGACGAAATAGCCGCAAACTAAAATCAGTCTCGCGCAATAAATATTGCTCTAAAAAAAAATGTTTTTGGCAGAAAAATTGTTTTGTGACTTGCTTGTCCCAATTAGGCTGTTAAATATAATTTTTTTTCTCTGCAGTAACCCTTTAACACCGGAGCGAGATTGAGAAACACCGCTGCGGGAAGATGCAGACGCGGTCAAGACTCTTCGGGCGCTTTAGATGAGGTCGGAGCCGGCAGCGGTTAGCTATGCAACATAACGCGGATGTGTGTATGTATGTTAATGGCTATTCCCTTTGTAAAGGGCGGCAGCGTGCGCCACCTAGCGCGTACACTGTCGTTGGTGGCAGTTCCAAGATGCTACCAAGACGGAAATGAGCGTTCCCCTTCAGGTCTCGCACGCTAGCAATAAGCGACCATGGTGGTAGAATTTCGGGTGACTGATCGCATGCTTAACGAGTATCGTCTCTTCCAGGAGGGAACGTCTCAGATCTTGGCAATATAGACGGAGTCGACATGTGGGACTCGTTGTCTGCATCACACAAATCGCAACGTGACATGGTCGTGCTCAACATAAATTCAGTGTTAAACTACTCCGCGATTCGAGTTGGTGACTACAAACTCATTGAAGGACGATTCAACAAAAGCTTGTATGACCAGAGATTTGAGACCGTGGGAGGCAAGCGTCCGTTGGATGACCTCGAAGCTTTGATGAATGAGTGCGTGGCTGCCTCTGCTCTCAGAGACTTGTATAAACCCGAACCCCTACAATTTTCTCCCTACTGGAGGGCCGAGGCCAAGATAAACTGTAGTAACGAACCGTCGAGTGTCGACATACATCAAGATACATTTTACTTATTTAACATCAAAGAAGATCCTTGTGAAACAAATAACTTGGTATGCGAGAAGACGGAGGTAAGTAATCTGAATTATACTATCAATATAAGCCATGAAAAAGCAATCGAAACGTCTCCGTACATATTGCACACAGAACGGGAAACAAATAAATATGCTCGTACAAAAAAAAAAAAAAATACTTAAAGAAAATATTAACGAAGGATGCATTTTATTGTCGGTTTTTATGTATACACTGCCACGAAAAAAGTTTTCACATGAATATAAAAAAAAGCTTTTATTCTCGCAAAAAAAAAAGAAGAAAAAAAAAAAGAACAAAAGCGAACAGATTGCGTTGCCCTTAGCGCAAAGTTAAGACCCGGTCCTTTCGCTTTATAATCTGCTGCTCTACCCCTGCGACAATAAAGCTTTTTTTTATTTTCGCTTATTCATCTGCGACAGCAAAGCTGCCTGGATGAGCGTCGTTACAGCCGCCATGTACTTCTTTTGTCGCTAAACATTTGCCGTGCTAGAGCCTGATCTCAGGTAATTAATCAATATATGTTACATGATGATGTCATAAGAATAGGCTAAGTGATAACGTTCATTATAGGTGTCACGGAATCTACTAGATTTACGTGATCACGTGCCTAACCACTTTTAATGTAACCGTTTACCAAACAATATTAAAAGTTTAACGACATAGATTTCAGCGAATCCTTAACGCTTTCTCCTTACGTTCGGACGGAGGTGAATAACTCACCTTAACAAATTACAAAAGGACTGTAAGAATACTGACGCAGAGTGCGTCGTGTATTCTTGGCGGCTCCCTTAAAAAAAGAAAAAAAAACGCGCTTTGGCAAAACAGGCAGTACGCGGAATAGATAGAAATAGGTCGACAGAAACATTCGGCCCATTCTGCGTCAGAAGGCTTTCTGCGAAGTATCGAATTAAGTTAAACACGCTACGCTTCTATTTTTTTTTTTTTTTTAGGATAAGCAAATTGTGTAAAGCACGTGCGAAACACCGTACGAAACACACAAAAATTGAAGCTTAAAAACGTTCTTCAACTAATTTTCTTTTTAATAGCTACATGCGGAATCTGAGGAAGGAAAATCGCGAATATGTTCGTAACCGGGACATATTTGCGATTCCCGTGCAATAAATAGGCTACATATCCTTGAAAATACAGTGAAACGGTTTTTGTAAGGTTCAGTTTTCCGTACCATATTTCCATGTTTCCTGTTTCATACGCCTGTTATGGAACATCAGCGTGTGCCACATCCAATTTGATATCTCTTGTAACAATATTTGATAAAAACTGAATAATGCGAGTTAACACAACAGGACTGGTTGTGAGGATAGAAGCGTTTGCTTATTTATGCATTACTTGTGAGTTGTGAACACCTGTACGCTCCGCCTATTTCTTTATTTTTTTTATAAATCGCTTAATGTTTTTGTAAGCCTTTTCCTAAGAATGAAAGCATATGAATAGAAGCCCCTTCCAATCAACTACTTAGTCACATTTTATTCTTAGAAAGCTGAAATTACGATTCAGTTCTTAGAAGGATTGTATACTCCGTTTCACGATAACTTGGTGAACTGTGGTTGCTGCGGCCCTCACAACCCAGTAAGGGCGCCGGAGCAAGGCACCTGATAACACTCCATGGTCGAGGCCACCGGGGCCTCGTTACCTCCACAGCAACAGAGCCCTCCGCTACAAAAAGGAGTTCTAGGCAATTCTGTGAAGAATGAAGAATAAATAATCTCAAATTTAGTTTCATTTACAGTTAGACCAAAAAAATGACGTCACATCCGTATCTTCTCGATTTTTTTCGCCTTGTAGGGCCGTGGCCGTTGGCGATCGCCGGCGATCGCATCCGTGCAATTGGCCGTTTCCGCTCAAAACATCACACTGTGCCCTGGTATTAGCACCCGTCACAGATGCGCGGCTAAATTGAGCGTATATGGTTGTCTCATGAGCTGTTCTCAGAACTCGCTATTCCAGCGGACGGATATGTTGCTGAGGTGGATGTTCATCCGAAGTTGGTTGGTTACGAAGCAGACGACTCTTGGCTGGCAGACGACAGCCGGTTCCTCCGGTCCTCGCATTTGGCGTGGTGATACAAATGCTCCCGTGACGTCGGGTCACGGGCCTCGCTCCGACGCTCTTTTTGGGTTGCGGGGCCCTCCTCCACAATTCGCCAAGCTTTCGTGAAACGCAGAATAGTGACGTGCTGAGTTCGAAGTCGTTGAACTAGTGTAGCGGCCACTACCTCCCCACGAAATAAGATAAAAAAGTAAAACAAAAGCAATGTTTTTGTGGTGTTTGACTCATATCTCTATCTGGTCTGACAACCCTGTCAGACTGGCAACATTGGGCCGGCACCCGGATGAAGAGAACATTCTGGAATGTCGACGTGTGGTTAGGTTGTGAGGTCGACGAGCACGTTGCTCATCGTTAGATTTTCTGTCATTAATAAAGTGCTGCACCTACCAATGTACCTAACTTAGCCAGGACCAGAACCGTTTTTTTCTTTAAAAGAAAAAAAAGCACTTTATAAAAGCATTACTTCGCAAGTCATTTTTTGACAAGGGATACGTAACCTAATAGCTATTAACGAACCGGTACTCGTTTACCGCTGTGGCGTCTACAAAATTATTTGTAGCAATCACAGGCGATTGGAGGAGACCCATTGGAAATGTTGACATTGCGTCTGCATAAGTATGCCTCGTGCTATTGCATCAGTGCGACAGTTAACCACCTCATAGGTTTCACTCACCTCTAATTGGAAGCTGATGTAAATTTCGGTGGTTTAGACGCGTATCTTGGGCACATAGTGCAATTCACCTCAGTTTAGCATTAAGTCAGATCCCAGGCAATGCCGCGACCCAATGGAAACGATCAAGTGGCTCCAAAAGGGCGTCATCACGGCGCTCGTCTTCTTTTATTTTTTTGTTCTTTTTTTGTTTGTGCTTTTGCTATTTACTGCCTAAACCATGGAGGCATAGGAAGCTTCTGGAGGCGACTTGACGCTGTGCAGAGGGACAGGACCCCCAACGTTTACCAAAACCAAGAGACGCTATTGGACGAAAGGAGTTGGCGCCATCTCCTTTTCGTCCAATAACGTCTCTTGGTTTTGATCATCGTTTGGAAAGGGGGGGGGGGGGGGGGCATCTCCCTTTGCACACCGTCATGTCGCCTCCAGGAGCTTTTTATACCTCCATGGTCAAAACCAATCACAACACAAGCAAAAAAAGCGCAAGGTGATGAGGCATTTATTTTATGGTTTAGCCAGGGATAGCAGACGCAGAGAGATGACGAGTACCGTTACAATGCACTTTTCTCGCTGCTTGATTGGCTCCATTAAAGCCCCCTATACGGAAAAGCAGCTACATTTTTCGAAGAACGCCGCCTGCTATCTGGAAGCGATTTAGGCGGTGCACAGTCGACGCGCGAGTGTGACAGAGAAAGTGTGCGCGGCAGAGAAGAAGGGAGAAGATGGCGCTACCTTTCCTATTCAGGGACCTCAGACTCCGTCGGGCATCGTATTTGGTTGGGCCGGATAGCATCGACTGCGGACGAACTTAGAGTGAAACGAAATATAAAATCCGATGCTAGGTAGGACTAAGCAGAGTGTTTGTGATATCCGAGTTTCTTGCGCGTTATTATACTTTGTCCGTGACATGTTCGCTTAGAGATATTGTCACGAATCACGAGTGGCCGAACAATTGATTACTGAGAAAACTCAATGTTTAATGGGGCGAAATTGTGCCAAAGCAGAAATAAAATGACCGGAGTCGCGGGAAGTCAATGGAGGCATAAAAGCAGGATCAAGCGAAGGCGAAATACTGACTCGAAGCAGCACGCCACGGTTGCTTTCGTACACTTTATAGGTTCGGCGCGGTCTTAAAGGGGCACTGACACCCCCAAGGTCGTATTCTTTTTTATTGTCTAAAACGATGGAAGTTGTAGTCATAAATACGCAAAAAAAAAAAACCGCATAGCGAAAAAAAATTTCCCCGCGCGCGCGCGCGCCTTTTTATTTTTGGCGTTTATATTTCCCGCGCTCACCTCCTTGCTTCTTTTGATCGGTGACGTCAAAAATCAGGAAATTTAGAAGCTTTGTAGGTGACCTTTTTATAACATTTAATAACGGTAATCGTAAAACATGTTTTTTAACGCAATTGCGAACGCACTACGGCCTTTCTTTTTGAAATACCGAAAATAAGATTTCGGTGTGATGTCGCTTCCTGGATTTGTATGCTCCCTCGGAAAACTTGGCGGCGCTCGAGCAGAGGATTATCGGTGAGTAGGGAAAGAAACCGGTTTTTTTCCCGCGCCGGCACCCTTCTATCCCGCCTGCTCGCCTCCTCCTCGCTTCGGGCCGCGGTAGCAACGGCGCTTAGCTTCACAGCGTGGAGCGGAGGTCCGAAAGAAAGTCAAGTCGCAGGAGACTGCAAAATTTGACTCACTGCACTGGCGCGGATCGCGCGGGAACTTCAAATTCGGCATTTGGAAATTGTTTTTTTTTTTAATTCAGAAATACTGAATTCCCAATTTCAAATTTTGAGGGTAATGTCCAGGCATCGTTTTCAATCGTTTCGGATAGTAAAATAAAATATGATTTTGATGTGTCAGTGCCCCTTTAAACTAGAACACACACGGTAACTGACGAGAATGTATTGGAACTTTCCGGTGGAAAAGTCAGTCGTAAATTTGTAAATTGAAAACTGCTGGTGGGTTTCGAACCGAACTCATCTGTGTGGGACCAGCATGAGCTGCCAACTCTTTTGGCCAGCTGTCTGATACGACGTTTACCGAAGCCATCTGTACTCGCTTCAGACACCTGCTGACAGTGTATCGAAATCGTACTGTTGAATATCGCAGACTCAAGTGACAGTTATTCATTTTCTTTCAGGCTGGCAAGCTAAATGAGCTAAAGAAGCTACTCGCTGACCTTAAAAAAGAAGAGGCGAAGCCTCTTAACAAGCCAGCCGACCCTGCAGCCTACCCCGAATGCCACAACGGAATTTGGGATCATTGGACTCCCACAGTATAAAATAAAAACATCTCAGTCACAATCTTAAATACTTTACAATACGAGTTCTGAGTCCGACTGCTCTTCGCCATTGATTCTAAGACTGAGTGAGAGATACAACTGAATATGACTTCATTTACCTGAGTTTGTTGTACGTAGTTATTTCGTTCTGCTTACGATATAAATGAACCATTATAATCTCCAAGCAAATATTCCTTTGGGTGCGCTGTCTCACTTTGAAATGCAAGTGAAAAGTTTTGAAAATATTTTGTTGCTCCAGTATTATGTACTTATTTTCATATACCTTGTCAATCCTTATCATAGTCACGAATATTATAATCAATAACGTTTAATCTTTTCGAACACCCCCCCCCCCCCCCCTCCCCTTTTCCGCTACAAAAAATATGTCTAATTTATTGATCAAATTCGGGATTTGACCGAAAAAGGTCAGTTACGCAGAACGGTAAAGCACAAGCGGCGAGGCATGCTCCTCTATGTTAAAACCCAATTCTATTAGTTATCTGATAAGTTACCCTTTTAAGGCGGTTGCATGCTATCCGCGACAGCATTGTCGCGAACACCACTATTTGTTAATTGGCTATAACTAGAGTAATCGGTCAGTGCTGACAATAATAATAATATAAAACGAGGGGCATGTTGTCTTAGGTTGAATTAACGTATCACAAGAAGCAGACGCGCACAAAAAGTGAACTGGTAGACTTGCACGTGTGTATACGGGGTGTGCTCTAAAACAATACACAATGTTTTCACCGCAGAAATTAACGAGCCACACATTGCCGAACGCTTTCTATCCGACCATATGTAGTGCTAGGGTTCCAGACCAGAAGCTAAAGTTTTCCGGGCTTGCCATTGTCTGAAGGGAGAGTTATAAACGATTTTCAGAATTTTTTTAAATAGAAAATAGCTACCAACGAAATTAATGAATACATTGGGCTGAATGGCTTGAGCCACCGAGAATAGACCACATTTCCTCATTGAAGGTTTCGGGAATCACGTGTAACTTTTGAATAAGGTGGCGGTTAGTTTGGAGACTCCTGCCCGGCCCGGTAGCGCTATATTTGGGAGGACACTGAGGACTTGGAAATGCCTAATTCATTTTTGCTGTAAATAAACTAAAGGTGTAAACTTTTCTAAATTTATTTCTGCAACACGATGCATATGTTGCGCTAGAAAAAAAAATATCTTTGATGTTTTAATCAAGAAAAAAAAAACAGAATTTAAGTGGAATTGAAAAATACATTAGAACAATACCCCTTTGATTTTTTTTAATATAATAAAACAACCTTTTTATAGTGGAAAGTAAATCTGAGAGTTTTTTTATATTTTATTAACAAAGGATTTGATGCCAAATGGCTACTGAAATTACAAGGCTGCATAAGCCAACTTTTTTGGTTGATTTTTTTTTCTTTTTTTTTTGGTACGTGATGAAATTAAAATAAACACTTTAGTCGACTTTAGTGGTTACATCTAGAACAGATTTCGATTTTTAACATATGTGCCCGCTTAACATGTTTATCTCGTGTCGCGACCGTATCTTTCAGAACAAAGTGCGCAGTGCTTAAAAGTAACGAAAATTAAGTAATGAATATTTATATTCAGATATTTCACAATAAAAGTCATTTTCGTTAGGGTAGATTAATTTTCACCGGTAGAATCCCAGCATCAGGGTCATCACTTTCTTTACAAATAGATCAAATAACGACCTTTCGCCCGTAACGGCTGCGTGCACCTAGTTTGTTCTGCTATAGTGCCTGGAACGGGTCTCTTACCGGAGGGCATACCGCGCCCTTCAAAGCGGTCCCACGGTTTTCGCCTTATGACATCAAAAAAGTGTCATGTTGTCGCCGACCGGGACCCTCCTGTTGCTCTGACAGCAGTAGTGGTGGATGCGGAGGACGCCTGTCCTGTTGCAGGTCGCTCTCCAATTTGACTGACCGCGGAAGCTTCGATAGTCAGGAGTCTGGACTCTGCGACAACAGCGACACTCGCGTTCGCTCCTATTTCTTGCCGGGGCTTCTAGCACCAATCGCCAGAGTCGCGACATCCGATGGCACGCCACTCCGGCTTCTCTGACGTCATTTGTTGCCACGTCGGGACGACTCTTGTTCTATGGGAGCCCTATTGAAAATTCCATCAAGATACGTAATTTGGGACACTGACTGCCAGTCAGCAACCTTGACGTGCTCTGATGGTCCATCAGATGACGTCTGACTGCCACTGCCAAGGGAATTTCATCAACACTTAAGGGCAGCATTTATATAAGAGTAAGGCTATAAGCACTCATAAATATCGCCAAATGCCTCGACAAAACAAAACGTTCGAGAAAAAAAAGAAGAAAAAAAAGCAGGTCAATCGCGGATCGAACTCGCGTCCACCTGCGTACAACGCGGACACCTTAACCCCTATACTATAGCCATATTTTTTTTTCTTCATTGTCCTATGCTATGCCTTCGCTTAGGAAACTAGATTTGGCCATTTTTTTTTATCCGAGATGCTTCGGCTGCAAATGCAGTTATGCCTTCAGCATGTTATGCAAAGCACTCGTACATTACTCGCCGTACTTCAGTTCTACTCACCTGCCATTTAGAGTACTTTCGCGTCGTAGAACGACCCTTCTGTTCGCGCGTCTCCGGCCCAGTAGACCTGGTACAAATTGTCGTCTTCAACTACACCGCTAAAGTCCCTTACATTGTCGGAACTCACAACAGGCTGGGTCTTGTCGAGTAGCAACTCTACTGAAACATAAGACATTGCAGAGCCCGGGCAGGAACGACAGGTTGGAGCAAGCGGGCAAATAAAACGAGTCGAGAGCGACCGTTCATGGAAGCTCGGCGAAGCCTCTATGGGCGAAGTGAAAGTGGCGTGTTCGGCGTTTCGGCGGGCTTCTGATCAAGGTTGTCGGTCGGTTGCGCGTCATATCTCTAACATCAGCGGTTTTATGGGCTCACGTCCCGAAATCGTTTTCTCAAGCATAGATTATTTTTCGTATTCATAGATTTGACGAAATAGTGGTATCCGAACGAACTTCACGTCCTTTGACCGTACGTCTGTCTGCACGTCAAAGCTTTTTGACGTACAGTCAGAGACAATCGATGTACAGTCAGAATCGCCACCAAGACATCTTGATGGCATTTCGCGGCGGCCGACTGCCATCAGGAAGCCATCAGAAAGCCGACAAGCGGAGTCTGACTGGAATTTGACTGTCGGTCAGAGTAACTTGTTGGCCAATCAGACATGCCTGACGTACAGTCAGGCACAGTCAGCGGTTTTTTGTGGGTGCTGTTCAGAGCGCATGCTGAGAACGAGCTCACATCAATAGGCTGCTGAGACCGGCAATCTCGATGGTTCCGAATGCACGTTGGAAAAGAACTGTGGAAGCTCGGCGTCAGCACGCGCTTGGCAGTCGCGCACACAGCTATGGCCGCCAATAAATACTCCCTATAGGACGCTAAACACACTAGTCGAAGACGCGTTCCAGGCGCCCTAGCTTTACGACCTCCTTCTTTGTTTGAAAACACGTATATTCAATACCCTTAATTTTGCGAACCGATAACTTTTTGTAGAACTTTGCGAACTCAAAACCTTGCGACCTCGGGGGCACGCGAATAATCCTGCTGTCTAGAGATGCGAATTCCAGACCTTCAAAAATTGGCGAAATTTAGCGTTCTCGAATGACCCCTCGTCCCCGTTCGCAAGAAAATCGAGACAATCCCCCAATTTTTTCGTTTAACGATACACGGTTTTTGAGTATGCCATTAATCGTTTATGAACCGTCCGTGATAAAAAGCTCTGTTCTGACGAACGCCACTAGTGAAATCCGCAATATTTAGCGAGTACAGCTTGTCCCATAACAAAATTTAGCATCTTTTTTTTTTTTTTCAACAAAAAAGTTAAGTATTTATGGCCGAACGCTGGGTCTCAGCCCGAATGTACAGCCAGCGGTCCGGGGGGGAAAAGACCCCCGAAGGTTCAAGACTAACCTTTTATCTCATTGAATAGTTACAAGTCACTTTTTGAAACTTTCAATGTGAAAATGGGACCCATTTCCCGTGGTTCACGCCATTCACATTCGTGTATTCGAAAACATTGTTGAACATTATTTGTAAAATAGAAAATAATAATAAAAAATCTCATACCTTTCGAATAAATAATAATTAGTTATAAAACTTTGGCATCTTGTCCGAACCAACAGCGGTAGATTTGTGCGGAAACTCAGGAACCCGTGTTTTTTTTTTTTTTTTTTTTGCGGTTAAGAAAAGAGAAAAACAAAGAAGAAAAACACAAAACGCTTCTTTTGTTTTGGGGGGGGGGGGGGGGAATGTCTCATGTAGGTCCTTGAAGTATAACCATAATAAAATACAGAAATTGTGCAGTGGCAGGGTAATGATACTAAAATCGAGTATTTTTCCACTACAGAGCAAGTTAAGAACAAAATAGCGTGGAAAAATCTTTTCCTTCGGATAATAAAATATCTGCGAATAGATACTTCCTCCCCTTTTATTGCCTAATAATAATAATAAAAAGAAAACATAAGTCAAACGTCGAGTATTTATAGCGAATATTAAGTGAAACATTAAACTCTTAGGGCAAATACGATATAGATTCGCGAATACTGGAAACTCCTCCGAAAACCTATGGAAGCGGCGGCGAACGTGACAGTGGCGCCTCTAGCGGACTCGGAGTCTACGGAAGCAGACGACGCAATGGAAAAGTGTAGGCTCCGCGACGTCCTCGAGCTTTGCGAGCCCCGTTTCTTCACCCCAACAGCTGAAACAATTCATTACGGTCAACCCGTTTGCAAAGCGGAATCCACTGATTGCAACTGGAACGACAAACAAATAACAACGCGCGCATAAACGAAGATAGAGCAGTTTATTTAGAGGTCTCAAACGCCACTCAGGGGGATCACATGCGTTCGAAGCGCATCTGGGAAGCGGAAAAATGGCGTTTAGCCACTCGAACTACGTCGTAAGAAGTTACTGTTTATCTGTTACAAACTG